TATATTACCACTCAAGGTGAACTGTTCCCACTGCCCTGCCCTTGTTATACTAGTAATCTGAACATGTTTTGATTTTTTTAATCTTATTCTTGAATACTAACTTAACTACTTCTAGAGTTCTTGATTCAGTTGTTTTTCCTCTGGTTTCCGTTGTTCTCTTCTGCTTTGTCTGCAGCTGAGATTTATTAACATTGTACGTGTATGTGGTTTATTATGTCTTTATTCTATTTAGAATTTGTTTTGCTTCCTGAATCTTTGGATTTGTATCTTATATCAAACCTGAAAAATTGTCTGCTGGTATTACTGGCTCCTTCTAGGAGTAGATTTTGTAGAGAAAAGTCATGATTCAGGATTATGTGTTTTTGTTTTGAAATATTCTCCTATAATCACTTTTATTTTTATTTCATCATCATTGACTCAAGAGGAAAACAAGTGGATTTTCATAATCTTTTGAAAGAACATGTATGGTTTTATGCTGGTTGACTTAATTATAACAAAATTACTGAAGTCATAATGGCTTAAATATTATAAAATACAGTTATCTCTTTCAAACATTCAGTAAGAAATGCTGTTTCTTCAGAAAATGAATATGCAAATATTATGGTCCTGAGGCTTACTTAACATTTTATAAATAAGTCATTATAATTAATATAAACTATCCTATGAGAATTTTACCAAACAAATAATTCAATTTTATATTAACTAGTTACAGAATAACCAGAAGTATAAATATCCAGCATAAGTTAATGTCTATATTCTTAATGTCTGCATAGTAAATATTTTCTAAATATTTGCACTTTTCTGTGTAATGATGTATTGGAAAGTTCCTGTTAAAAACTTGCGTCTATGACTTTAGCTTTTAATTATAATCAAACTTGAATTTTTTTCCTCCACCCTCCCTCCCCCATCTGACCATCCCCTGCCTCTTGCAACCACTAATCTGTTCTCTGCATCATTTCACATACCTGTTGGCCATCTGTAAGTCTTCTTTGGAAAAATGTTAATTCAGATCTTGGGCCTATTTTAAAATCAGAGTGTTTGTTTTTTTGCTATTGAGTTTTATGAGTTCTTTGTTCATTTCGGGTATTAGCCCCTTATCAGATACGTGACTTGCAACTATTTTTCCCATTCAGTATGTTGCTTTTTCATTTTGCTGATGGTTTTCTTTCCTATGCGGAAGCTTTATAGTTTGATGTAGTCCCACTTATTTATTTTTGTTTAACAAAAACCAACAAAGGTTTTGCTTTTGGTGTCAGAGTCAAAAAATCACCAAGATCTATGTCAAGGAGCTTACCACCTATGTTTCCTTCTAGGAGTTTTATGGTTCCGTATCTTATATTCAGGTCTTTAGTTCATATTGAGTTACCTTTTGTGTCTGGTGTAGGATTGTGGTCCAGTTTCATTCTTTTGCATGTGGCTGTTCTATTTTCCCAACACAACTTAGTGAAGAAACTGTCCTTTCCCCATTATACATTCTTGACTTCTTTTGTAAATTAATTGACCATGTATGCATGGATTTATTTCTGGGCTCTCTATTCTGTTCCATTGATCTGTGTGTCTGTTTTGAGCCAATATCATGCTGTTTTGATTACTACAGCTTTGTAGTATAATTTGAAATCAGGGCATGTGATGCCTCCAATTTTTTCTCCTTTCTCAAGATTGCTTTGGTTACTAGAGATCTTTCGTGGTGCCATACAAATTTTAGGATAATTTGTTCTATTTCTGTGATAAATGCTATTGGAATTTTGATGGGGATTACATTGAGTCTCTAGATTGCTTTGAGTAGTGTAAACATTTTACTAGTCCATGAGCATAGATTGTTACATGTCTGTTGATAGACATTCTAAAGTTCCATGGGAATTGTGGGTTCAACTCGGCACCTTCTAGGTCCTCAGCCTCTTTGTCCTCTAATGTAGTGTGTTTCAAAATACCAAATCATCATCATTCTTTTTTTTTGTATTATGTGTATCATACCAAACTGTCAACTAGTTATTTTATCTTTTATGGCAAAATTGCCTCATAACCAATTTGTTATGCAGTAAAAATGTTTGCAGCAAAAATACTTGCAGCAGAATGTCTACAGCAAAACAGCTTGCAGCAAAAGTACCTGACATGATTAGATACAATAGTGAGAAGAGCCACTCCACCTCTACCTCTTGATTTACAAACCCATGTATCCTGGCTGTGAGGTAGCACCACATAATGGTCTTTGATTTGAAGCATATACCACATGCAAAGACAAAATCCTGGTCTTTCAGGATATTGTTTCCCAAAAGGTACCATAAATTAGTTTTCAGTAAGTCATTCCACCATTCTGTTAGTCTCTTTCTGTGAGTGATGAGAATATGTGATAAAACCAGTTAATTCCATTGGTATGAGCCTCATGCTGCATATCCTTTGCTATGAAATGAGTTCCTTGATCAGAAGCGTGAAATTCGGTGACATCGGTGACATTTGGTGGTTAAGGCATCCTGTGTGTCCACAGGTGGTGGTGCTAGAGAAGCACAATGGATAGGGAAAGCAAATCCAAAATTCATGTCTATTCCAATGAGGATGACTCTTTGTCCCCTCCATAATGGAAGAGGTCCAGTGTAATCAGCATGCCACTGGTGTCTGGCTGGTTTCTCTGGGAAATGGTGCCATATCAGAG